GTGACCAGGGCTCCCTCTGCCTCCTCGTCCTCCTCGACCTATCGGCAGCATTCGATACGGTCGACCACACTATCCTACTCCACCGCTTGTCCTCTCACCTCAACCTTCAAGGCCCTGTCCTTGAGTGGTTTAGGTCGTACCTCTCCCACCATCTTCATTTTGTTTCCACAAACGGCTTTTCCTCCACCCCCCGCACTGTCTCGTGCGGTGTCCCTCAGGGCTCTGTCCTCGGTCCCCTCCTCTTCACCCTCTATATGCTCCCCCTGTGGTGACATCATCCGCAGACATGGGGTTAACTTCCACATGTATGCGGATGACACCCAACTCTACCTTTCCTCCTCTACCCTCAACTCCACGACCCCGATGTCCTGACAGCTGTCTGTCCGACATCGAGTCCCGGACGAGAGACAACTTTCTTCAGCTCAAAACTGAGGCCCTCCCGATTGGCTCACGTCAGCGCCTCCGCAACTCAGGCACTGACAGCATCAGCATCCAAGGCTTCACTCTCTAACTCTCAAAGCCGTTCAGGAACCTCGGGGTTCTGTTCGACCCTGAGCTGTCCTTTCTCCCACATATCTGCGCCACAACTGGCACTGCTTTCCATCACCTCCTGAACATCGCCAGACTACGGCATTACCTCACCCCTCACGCGGCTGAAACTCTGGTCCACGCCTTTATCACCTCAAGGCCGGACTATGGGAACTCTCTCCTCGCCGGCCTTCCCGGCCCTCCCTCCACACTGCAGGTCATTCAGAACTCTGCAGCTCGTGTACTATCCCGCAACAGGCTTCGCGCCCACATCACTCCCACCCTTGCCCTCGCCCTCGCCCTCACTCCCACCCTCGCCCTCGCCCTCGCTTGCCTCCACTGGCTCCCCATCCCCCAGAGGATCGAATTCAAGATCCTCATCCTCACCTACAAGGCCATTCTTCACGGCCTCGCTCCCTCCTACCCCTCCGACCTACTATCCCCCTACTTACCTGCCTGTACCCTCCGTTCCTCTGGCTCCGGTATTAGGACCACTGCTCTTCTTAATATACATAAATGATCTGGACTTGGGTATAGGAAGTACCATTTCCAAGTTTGCGGACGACACAAAGTTAGGGAGAGGGTAAACAGTGAGAAGGATAGGAGCCGACTGCAGGAAGACATAGACAGATGGTAAAATGGGCGACACGTGGCAGATGAGTTTCAATGTGAAGTAATGCATTTTGGTAGAAAGAATGAGGGGCAATATAGGCGGTAATACAATCTTAAGTGGGGGTGAAGGAACAGAGAGACCTGGGGGGGCAGGTAACTGGATCCTTGAAGGTGGCAGGACAGGGAGATAAGGCTGTAAAGGGGCATATGGGATACTGGGCTTTATAAATAGGGGCATAGAGTACAAGAGTCAGGAGATGATGATTAACCCATATAAACACTGGTTAGGCCTCAGTTAGAATACTGCCCCAGTTCTGGGCCCCACACTATAGGAAGGACGTTAAGGCATTGGAAAGGGTACAGAGGAGATTTACGAGGATGGGACCAGGAATGAGGGACCGTGATGATGAGGAAAGGCCGGAGAGGCCGCGATTATTCTCATTGGAGCAGAGAAGGTTACGAGGACCTAATAGAGGTCTTCAACATCATGAGGGGATTTGATGGGTTAAAGAGGGACAAACTGTTCCCACTGGTGGGAGTGTTGGTGACTCGAGGTCACAGATTGAGAATAGTCTCTGAAGGAAGCCGAGGGGAGGGGAGAAGACAGTGCTTCACGCAGCGCGTTGTGGGAATCTGGAACATTGCCTGAAAGGGCGGTGGAGGCCGATTCCATAACTACTTTTAACAACGCGGTGATGGGTATTTGAGGAGACGGGTTTGGGGGTTATGGGGAAAGGGCCGGGAGTGGGACTGACATAACATTGCTCTATTCAAACAGTCGCACAGACTCGATGGGCCGAATGGCTTCTTTTTGTGCTGTACAATTCTATGATTCTGTGAATAATACCCCAAGAAGATTGATACATTTTTAAATCTAAAGGGATTAAGGGATAAAATGGGTGATAGGGCGGGGAAATGGAATTAGGCTAGAAGATCAGCCATGATCTTATCAAATGGTGGGGCACAGGCTCGAGGGGCTGAATGGCCTACTCCTGCTCCTTTTTCTTATGTTCTTATGTAAAAAAAACAATAATAAATTGGTCATTTTCAATCCATGACTGTTTGTGGGACGCTGCTGTGCGCAATTGGCTGCTATGTTTCGCCCACAACTATAGTCATTTCACTTTACAGCATATTCTGTGAAGCGCTTTGAGACGTCGAGAAGATGTGAAAAGCTCTATGTCAAATGCAAGGATTATTATTATTATTATTATCTGAGTCACAAGGTTGTTGGTTCCAGCTCCATGTTGCGGTTTGGAACTCATAATAGTTAGACTGACACTCCAATGCAATGCTGGGGTGTGCTGCCGGTCAGAAGTGCCGCCTTTGGGAGAGAAATTAAATCGAGGTTCCGTCTGCGTGTTCACAGAATCATAGAATTACACAGCACAGAAGGAGCCATTCAGCCCATCGTGTCTGTGTCGGCTCTTTGAAAAGAGCTTCCAAATCAACCCCTCTCCCCCGCGCTATCCCCACAGCCCCAATCAACCCCACTCCCCCTCTCTCCCCACAGCCCTGATCAACCCCACTCCCCCTCTCTCCCCACAGCCCTGATCAACCCCACTCCCCCTCTCTCCCCACAGCCCTGATCAACCCCACTCCCCCTCTCTCCCATAGCCCTGATCAACCCCACTCCCCCGCTCTCTCCCACAGCCCCTGATCAACCCCACTCCCTCTCTCCCATAGCCCCGATCAACCCACTCCTCGCTCTCTCCCCATAGCCCCGATCAACCCCACTCCCCCGCGCTCTCCCCATAGCCCCGATCAACCCCACTCCCCCGCTCTCTCGCCATAGACCTGCAAACTTGTCCTCCACAAATAATTATCTATTTCTTTGTTAAAAGTTGTTATGGAATTGTCTTCCCTCAGCCTTTCAGGCAATGCATTGCAGATCCCAACAAATCACTGTGTGAAAACATTTCTCCTCCCCTCCCCTCTGTTTCTTTTAATAACCATTTTAAACCGGTGCCCTCGGGTTCCCGACCCACCGCCAGTGGGAATAGTCTCTCCTGTTCACCCTATCGAATCCCCTCATCATTTTGAAAACTTCTATTAATTTTCCTCTTAACCTTCTCTGTTCCCCGGAGAATAATCCTCACTTCTCTACCTCTCCTGATCACTGAAGTCCCTCATTCCTGGTACCATTCTGGTCAATCTCCTTCGCTCCCTCTCCAATGCCTTGACATCCTTCCTAAAGTGTGGGGCCCAGAACTGAGCCCAGTCTCTCGCTGAGGCCCCACCAGTGATTTATATAAAGGTTCATCGTGACTTCCTGACTTGTGTATTCTATGCCCTATTTATAAAGCCTCTTGTCCGGATGCTTTATTAACAGCTGTATCTCCCTGTCCGGTCACCTTCAGAGATTTACTATATGACCCCCAGGTCTCTCTGTCCCTTCACCCCCTTTAAGATTGTACCATCAGCTTATATGGCCTCTCCTCATTCTTCCTCAAAAACTCCATCACTTTGCATTTCTCCACATTAAACCTCATCTGCCCTGTGTCAGCCCATGTTACCAGTCTGTTTATCCCCATTTATAGTCTGTTACTATCCTCCTCACTGTTTACTATTTTTCCTATTTTAGTATCATCTGCAAACTTTGAAATTTTACTCCCTATACCCCAGCCCAGGTCATTTATATCGATCAAATAACTATTATATATTTTATAATTATGCACCTCTTTCCCCTCTGCACCGAATTCCCACTCTCACCAAATTCCTTAACAGAATTCCCACTCTGTTCCACGTCACTCAGTTTCTGCCTCACACTGCTGGCTCTCTGCTCTGCTCAGGGTGATCCCATGGCACTATTTGAAAAGAGAAAGGAGTTTCTCCCGGTGTCCTGGCCAATTGTCCCCCAAATAAAATTGGTTACTCCACTTGCTCTTGTGAAATGCTTTGACACATCCTCCTATGTGAAATCTGTCTTACCAAATGTAAAGATTATTATCATTATTAATAATTACCATCTGAGTAAAGAAAAACTTCCTGGCATCTATCCTGAACTTACACTTTACAACTCTAAACCTATGTCCTCTTGTTCTGCTGCCTTGGTGCATCCTAAAGTATTATTCTGGGGTTACTATTTAAATGTTCTTTAACATGTTATGCACATCTATGAGGTCCCCTCTGAATCATCTTCTCTCAAGACTGGAGCTCTATCTTATCTAATCATTGCTCATAGCTAGGACCAATAGAAACATTTGGGGAAATTGTGGGGAAATTTCTAAGTGTAGATGGCATACATCTGTGGAATACTGTCTAGTTTACTGTCTCGTGGAGTCCTGTAGCTCAGTGGTTAGAGCACTCGCTTTGCAAGTGAGAGTCCTGAGTTCAATTCCAGGCAGAGGCGAAACCTTGGGCAAGTTTCCTTACTCCACACGCCTAATAATAATCCCTCCAAAACTAAAAACAATAATTAAATTGGTCATTTTCAATCTATGACTGTTTGTGGGACATTGCTGTGCGCAATTGGCTGCCGCGTTCGCCCACAAATATACAGTCAATTCACTTTACAGTGTGTTCTGTGAAGCGCTTTGGGACGTCCTCCTGATGTGAAAAGCGCTATATCAAATGCAAGGATTATTATTATTATTATTATTATTAGTTTAGCATGGGTTTTTTAATGTGTCAGCCACCTAGCTGACCCGTTAAAAAAAAGCCACGGTGCTTGACATCCAACTTAGAGACAAAGGTTTGTGTTTGGGACTAATAGCTATTTGGGAAAAATAACTGCATGAGGTTTGTGAGAGGTGGGGAATGTAGGATTATTGTTTTACTTTGAGGTGGGCCACTTATGTTCAATCGTGTCTTGCCAGGGTTTGTCCAGATAATAAACAGTATGTTTGAATTGGACAGGAATGGCTGCCTTGGACAGCAAGACCTCAGGGAAGATGGGGTTCCGTGCAGTGATATACTACACAACAACCACTGTCATCGCTGTGATCATAGGCATTATCATGGTGTTGATCATTCATCCTGGGAAAGGAGGCAAGGAGAATATGCATCGAGAGGGGAAGATTGAACCAGTGCATTCAGCAGACGCCTTCATGGATTTAATAAGGTCTGGTTTATCAAGTCTGGTCCCGCTGATGTTGTGTAAGATGTGGATCCAGTGCAGGTTCTGCTTGATCTGGTTCCAGTGTGAGCTGTTTAAAGTGTGGATCCACTTCAGATTGGTGAAAGGTTAAGTTCCACAGCATGCTGTGTAGGGTGAGGTCCTGTAGCTCAGTAGTCAGAGCATTCGCCTCGCAAGCGAGAGGACCTGCGTTTGATTCCCAGACAGGGCAAAACGTTGCGTAAGTTTCTTTACTACACACGCCTCTGTTTACCAGCAGTAAGTAGGAGCCTGGTTTTTAGTCAATTGTTGGATCTCTTTTCCTGAGATAATGAACAAAAAAATAATAATAATTTGGCCACTGAGCCTGACCTTACACAGCAGTGTCCCACAAACAGTCATGGATTGAATCACCAATTTTTAAAAATTATTTTGAAGGGATTATTACCCCTGGAAAAGCGATCCACCAATCGACTAACAATCTGGTTTCTAGATACTGCTCCGCACAGCACCCCCTCCACCCCCTCAAGTTTTCTGCATCCTCACGTCAAACCCCAAGTGCGAAGAGATCCTAGACTTCTTCATGTCAAAGATTGAAAACATCCGCTTGCTGCATTCTCCTCCCCTACATCCCCTTCCACAACCGCCAGACCGTCTACACAATCCCCTCCTTCCATGGCCCCTATCAATCCCCAATCCCTACACTCCTTTTCCCCGATTACTCCCACCTCCCTCTCAAGCACCAGCTCCCAGATGAAGTTTATCACCTGTTGCCTCGACCCCCTCCTCACCCAGCTGCTGGCACCCAACTCCCCTTCCTCTCCCCACTGCTGTCTGACACAGTCAACAGTTGCTCTCCTCCGGTTCTGTTCCTCTCCCCCTCAACAATCCACCCTTGACCCCTCCAACCTCACAAATCACCAACCCATTTCCAACCTGACCTGCATTGCCACATCTCTGGAATGCTATGTCGCTAACCAGCCTTGCTCTTACCTCTCCCTTCTCGAGCCCTTACAGTTTGGATTCCCCCCGGCAGACAGCACAGAGATGGTGCTTGTCAAGGTCACAAACAACTCTCTAGGGCTCCCTCTGCCTCCTCATCCTACTGGACCTCTCCGCTGCATTCGACACAGTCGACCATGCCATTGTCCTCCACCGCCTCTTCTCCCTCATCCATCTTAGTGGGACCACACTCAAAACCTTCACTTTATCTCTTCCCCTCCTGGTACCTGCAGGTTGCCCCAAAGCTCCATCCTTGGACCATCCTCTTTCTCATCTCCCCATAACCCTGATCAACAACTTTTAAGAGAGAAGTAGATAATTATTTGGGGAGGAAAAGTTTACAGGTCTATGGGGAGAGAGCAGGAGAGTGGGGTTGATCAGGGCTATGGGGAGAGAGCGGGGGAGTGGGGTTGATCGGGGCTATGGGGAGAGAGCGGGGGAGTGGGGTTGATCAGGGCTATGGGGAGAGTGCGGGGGAGTGGGGTTGATCGGGGCTATGGGGAGAGAGGGGGGGAGTGGGGTTGATCAGGGCTATGGGGAGAGAGCGCGGGAGTGGGGTTGATCAGGGCTATGGGGAGAGAGCGGGCGAGTGGGGTTGATCAGGGCTATGGGGAGAGAGCGCGGGAGTGGGGTTGATCAGGGCTATGGGGAGAGAGCGGGGGAGTGGGGTTGATCAGGGTTATGGGGAGAGAGCGCGGGAGTGGGGTTGATCAGGGCTATGGGGAGAGCGCGGGAGTGGGGTTGATCAGGGCTATGGGGAGAGAGTGGGGGAGTGAGGTTGATCGGGGCTATGGGGAGAGAGCGCGGGAGTGGGGTTGATCGGGGCTATGGGGAGAGAGCGCGGGAGTGGGGTTGATCGGGGCTATGGGGAGAGTGGGGTTGATTTGGAAAAGCTCTTTTCAAAGAGCAGCACAAACACGATGGGCCGAATGGCCTCCTTCTGTACTATATGATTCTATGATTCTTTGAGTAAGGTCAGGTCACTGCACACTGTGTAAGGGCTGATACCACTCCACTTAGAACCCTTTTTCCTCTACAATCTTCACTGAGAATCTTAGACAACAACTATAGAAATGGAGAAATCTAGTAGTTTAGGACGCTTTGTTGCAGGACTTGGGGATGAAATCTGTATGTGGAAGTGACTGTTTCTCTCTCTTACCCACAGGAACATGTTTCCCCCTAACCTGGTGGAGGCCTGCTTTAAACAGGTAAATGTCAATTTGCTTTGAATGAAGCACAAACACAATCACTCGCAAAAAACTTACTGCACAAATCAGAGCTCAGAGCACTCTCATTCCAGGCACATCCTAAAACGTTTCTCTTTGACCACCTTTTCAGTTGTCTTTGCTCTCTCCACGTCCCGCTGCCCATTGCTCCCTGCCCCAGTTCATGTGTCCATCCAGCACTATTAAGCACTTTGACCTGTTCCATTGGCAGGAATGGTGCTGTATAAATGTGAATTGTTTAGTATTGTATAGATCACAAGATTGGTTTGGAAGTTAAGATTTTCTTTATGTGACTGAAATAAGGAACATAGAGAACAGTGAGGAAGATTGTGAGCAGCTTCAAGGGACACAGACAACAGATCAGTGCATTGGGCAGAGAGATGGCAAATGGAATTTAATGCAGATAAATGTGAGGTTCTACATATATATTAGGTGATAACATATTAAAAGGAATGGAAGAGCAGAGGGACTTAGGGTTAATGTTCACACATCCTTAAAGTGGGAAACCAGGTGGGCAAAGCTGTCAGGAAAGCAAATGGAATCCTAGATTTTAGAAATAGGAGAATAGAATATACAACAAATAAGTGATGCTAAACTTATACAAATTGTTGACTGCAGTTAGAATATTGCATCCAGTACTTGTCACCCCACTTTAGGAAAACATCAGAGGGGGTGACGAGGGGGTTAGAGGGGGTGTTAGAGGGAGTGTAGAGGGGTAGAGAGTGTAGTGGGGTGTAGAGGGGAGGTAGGGGGGTAGAGGGGAGTTAGGGGGGTAGAGGGGTTGTTAAGTGGGGTAGAGGCAGTGTAGAGGGGATAGAGGGAGGGTAGAGGGGGGTATAGGGGGTGAAGAGCAGTGTTATCAGGGTGACACCAGGGAGGAGTGCTTGGCCTGTGAGTGGAGACAGGAGGAACTGGGACTGTTTCTGTGAGAACAAAGAGAGTTGAGGATGACTTGAAATGCTGGTGTTTAAAATTCCTTGGAATAAAAGTGGGGAAATGGGGCAAAAAGATCGACTATGATCTTCAAGTAGCTCAGTGGTTGAGCACTCGCTTTGCAAGTGAGAGACCTGAGTTCAATTCCAGGCAGAGGGCGAAACCTCGGGCAAGTTTCCTTACTCCACACAGAGCCTAATAATAATCCCTCCAAAAAAACAAAATAATAAATTGGTCATTTTCAATCCACGACTGTTTGTGGGACATTGCTGTGCGCAACGCTGCCGCGTTCGCCCACAAATATACAGTCAATTCACTTTACAGTATATTCTGTGAAGCGCTTTGGGACGGCGAGAAGACATGAAAAGCACTATATCAAATGCAAGGATTATTATTATTATTATGATCTAGTACATTTTCTAAACAGACTCCACTGGATCAATTCTGTTGCTATATTTTAGTCCCTGAACCCAACTCTTCTCGACTCTCAACTCAATGTCATACTCTATTCACTTTAGTTTAAAACCAGCTACACCACGAGAACCGTTGTAGTGATCACCCCAGAGAATGAGACAGCCACTCAAGACTCAGTGATCAACAATGTTACACAGGCCATGAGGCTTCTTCGGGAGGTAACCGAAGAGATTATCCCATTACCAGGTGCTGCCAATGGGGTCAATGCCTTGGGGCTGGTGGTGTTTTCCATGTGCCTGGGGCTTGTGATTGGGAACATGAAGGAGCAAGGAAAGGCACTTCGGGAATTCTTTGATTCTCTGAATGAAGCAATCATGCAACTGGTAACAATAATCATGTGGTAGGTACAGTCCAGTTCAATATTGCTGATGTGTACCTGTTTATATGTAACTCTGCCCCCCGCACCCCCACACTCAGGTCCTGGTCCCCGATTGTTCAGCACCTTGGGGACGTCCTCCCGATGTGAAAGGCGCTTTACAAATGTAATTTTGTTGTTGTTTGGTCAGCCATCAGTCTGACTACCTGCAGAACACTGTACTTCAGAGTATTGAATGCAACCAAAAAGTTCCACATATGTGCGCCACCTACACACGGATATTTCATTGTGTCTGGAATGAAATGCGCACCCTATTAAGTGACATCTGGAGATGGGTGAGAGCCAAGCTTTGGGCAAGTGCATCTGGGTAGAACTGGAGTTCAACGAGCTAAAACCAAACTGGCTGCCTTTGAAAGCACTGTCTGGTAAGCTTCCTGCGAAGACAACCCTATCCGTTAGGACTTTCGCTTGCAGAGTTAACAGGAGCCAAGTGGGAATAATCCGTTTATATGGATTGCCTGAACCACATCCTAACAACTCTCTGTGTGAATGGATTCCTCCTAATCCCTCCATTGTTCATTCATTTAAATCAATGCCCTCTAGTCACTGACTCGCTGATCAGTAGAAATAATTTCTTCCTTTCGACTCTTGTCAAAACCTCTATCGGGTCTTCCCTCAACCTTCTCTGTTCCAATGCATCTAAGCCTTGTTCCACTACTACTTGTTCACGGGGTCAAACTACTAATCCTTGTATTTTCCTACTAAATCTCCTCTGCACCCTCTCTTTGGTCCTGACATCCTTCCTAAAGCGAATTGATTAAAACTGGACCCAACACTCTAACTCTCTAACATTAATGATTTATACAAGTATCATTTCTTCTAGACATGTACATATGTTACCAACCCACCCACCAGTGGAAATAGTCTCTCCTGTTCACCCTATCGAATCCCCTCATCATTTTGAAAACTTCTATTAAAGCTCCCCTCAACCTTCTCCACTCTAAGGAGAATAATCCCAGCCTCTCTAATCTCTCCACATAATTGTAGTTTTTCATCTCTGGTGTCATTCTGGTAAATATATATATATTTTTGCGCATAGATTTGTGTACATATGCAGTTCTGTTATTGAGTAAAGGTACCTGAATGTGTGTAAATGCACGTTTTCTTTGGTTGTCGTCCTACAATTAGAGGAAATTACAGCAGAATAGGTCACTTATTCATTAAGATGAGACTAAGATGGGTCTCTCTCTGTCTCTTCAGTAACTCTTTGTGGTGTCATTAATTCTGTGCTCCCTATGCTGTAGGTATGCTCCGGTGGGTATCATGTTCCTGATTGCTGGTAAGATTCTTGAGATGAAAGACATGTCGATTGTGGGAGGACAGCTGGGGATGTACACAATCACCGTTATCATTGGCCTCCTTGTTCACGCTGTTATTATGCTGCCCCTCCTCTACTACCTGGTCACACGGAAGAATCCATTTGTTTTTATTGGTGGGATGGTGCAAGCACTTGTCACTGCATTAGGCACATCTTCAAGGTAAGGAGTGGTAAAGAGTGGGATTCCAGCAAGGGCTGACACGATAGCACAGTGCAGTCAAACACAGTTTCCTCCTCCTACGTACCTGATACTTCATTGTTGCAATAAATCCACTTTTAAGATTACAATGTGACGCATATTGATCAGGTTATTATGTTCTGCAAACATCATATTGAATGATGAAAAACACTAGAATTAAGCAAATTGCTGCAAGGTTACACGTTCACCTACAACAACAACTTACATTTACACAGTGCCCTTTACACGGGGGAGCGTCCTGAAGCGCTTCATGCTGGGGGAGTCCGACAAGGAGACAGAGGGAGCAGGAGTGGGGAGGTGACCATCAGCACCATCAAAAAGGAAGGTCTTTAGGCAGGATTTGAAGGTGGGGAGGGAGGGGGGAAGGCGGAGGGATTGAAGGAGAGGGTTCCAGAGATTCGGGGAGTAGTGGCTGAAGGCACGGCCACCAATGATTAGGAACGGGACGAGGGATGAACAGGAGGCTGGAGCCAGCGGGTGGTGGAGTGGAGGGTGAGCAGGGCGGAGAGGTAACCGAAACACATACAGAGGTAGACATCCACAAAACATTCACACACAGTACCACACGCACAGATACATGCACACATCACAGATTGTGATTCACAATTCAGATATTCAAAAGCTGAATGATTGTACAGATACACGTGTATACATGCACACACACGCACACACACGCACACATACATGGGCATATTTAATGCTACTCTAAAAGCACAAAATATACTTTCCCCAATGTGTTCATGCTGGTCCTCACTCTACTATAAGCCCATTCACCTGGTCTTTCCTCAAATCCTTTTAGATCTTTATTCTGAAAATATTTTATTTAATTTCCTTATTTACTCCAATAGACATCTCTGGAATATCAATATATGAATGGAAAGCATGGAACTCTGTTTGGTTTCGATGTTCTTAAGCACGGTGATGGGTTTCCACGTGTCAGACACCCGGCAACCAAAACAAAATTCTCATTGACATGCTCCCTGTTGGTGATGTCATCTGCAGACATGGGGCCAATTTCCACACGTATGCGAATGACACCCAAATCTACACAACAACAACAAAATTACATTTGTATAGCGCCTTTCACATTGGGAGGACATCGGGAGGAAGACAAATCTATTTTGTCTTCCTCTAGACACAACCTCAGTCCTACTGATGTTCTATCTGCTTGTCTGACATCAAGGCATGGATGAATGTCAACTTTCTGCAGCTGAACATGAACAAGATGGAAGCCATCCTACTTGGCTCAACACCTTCTCACCTGCGGTTTTGGACCACTTAACCTTCCCTGCCCATTCCTTGGACTCACCCAAATTGTGTGCAACCTTGTAGTCAGATTGGATCCCCGCTTACCCCACATCTTTCTCCTGACCAACACAGCTTTCCGCAACCTTCGCCACATCACCTGCCTTCACCCCTATCTTACTTTAAATGCTGCTGAAACCTTCATTCACCTCCTGCCTCAATTTTTCTCATACACTCTTCACCAATCTCCCCAGCTCCTCTATTAACAAGGTCTAAATTATTCAAAACTCTGCCACTCATGTCCTCACCCATAACAAGCTCCACAGCCTCTATCACCACAGTCCTTGCCAGGCTCCACTGGCTCCCTGTTGCAGATCTTCATTCTCACTTTCAAATCTGATCAGCTCCTGCCATCTTCCTACCTCTCCTCTCCGCTCCGCTCACAAACCACTCCACTACTTGCCGCCTTTGCTCAGCTGACACAGCTCTGCTGCACGTCCCTCATCCCTGCCGCTCCACAACTGTCAACCGTACTTTCAGGCATAAGAGCAAAAGAACATAAGAATTTGCTGGCGAAAGAAAACCAAGATCCATCTAGTTCGCTTTCCACCAGCCTGGCAGTCGCTTGACATGTCGTGTCCCAACTATATATTGTATTCCCAGATATTATTTTCTAGGAGAGATCTATCTAATTTGTTCTTGAAACAACAACACTTCTTCCAGGATCTCCCTAGGGAGCCTGTTCCATAAGTTTACTACTCGCTTACTGAAGTAGTGTTTCCGCAGATATGTTCTGAATTTACCCCATTCAATCGCAGGCCATGTCTGGAACTCTATCCCCAGTGCCTTCGCTGCCTCCTCCCTTTCCTCCTTCAAGACCTTTCTCTTTGACCGTACCTTCAGCTCCGCTCTCGACTCTCTACCCCCTCCTCGCTCCCTCCCTTCCCTCACCATTTCCCCCCTCCTCGCTCCCTCCCTTCCATCCCCTCACCCTGACCATTTCCCCCCTGCTCGGGTCCTGACCCAACTGTACAGCGCCTTGGGACGTCCTCCCGACGTGAAAGGCGCTCTATAAATGGAATCTTGTTGTTGTTGTTGTTGATGTCCTCTGGTTCTACAACTAAACAATACAGTACCAGGTAAAACAGCTTATCAAGGTCTACATTATCCCAGTCCCTTCAGAATCTTAAAGACCATAACCATATCGCCTGTGGCACTGTGCGCGAGGCTCTGGAACACCTTGCTTCAATCCTTCCTTGCCCCTTGCCTATCCATCTTCGACCGTGCTTTTGGTCACCTCCCATCTCTCCCTGACATGGATGTTAAACTCTTGAAACTGCTACCTGTGTGAAGGGCTCTATATAGATGCAAGTTGTTGTTGAGCTTTTCCCACTTGCAAATGTCTGATTGCATCCCAGATCCTTCTAATTGTACCATTTAATGTTTTTTCCCAAACACCAGCTCCCCACCAGAGACATGACATGGGTTTTATGTAGCTACGCTGATAGCTCCCATCAGGACAGTCTTGCCATGTGAGACTAACTACTCTGTCAGCCTTAACACTCTTCAGACAATTGATACAATTTCTATTTCCAAAGAATTTAGGAATATTCGGGTCAGAAGCTCTCCTGTAATTAGTCTCAATATTCTGTAGTGGACCAATCATGCCTAGGATGATAGAAATTTACAATATGTAAAGTCTTGTAACTCAGTGGTCAAAGTACACGCCTCGCAAGCGAGAAGACCCAAGTTCAATTTCTGGGCAGAGCAAAACGTTGGGCAAGTTTCCTCACCCACACGCCTGTTTACCTAGTAGTAAATTGGAACCCAGTTGTTAGTCAATTGATGGATCGCTTTTCAGGGGGTAATAATACCTTCAAAAGAAAAAATAAATAATAATGTGGCCACTCAATCCACGACTGTTTGTGAGACGCTGTGCGCAATTGGCTGCCGCATTTTAACCCACACAAAGTCACTTCACTTTAAAGTGCATCCTGTGAAGCACTTTGAGACATCTTGAAGACTTGATAAGGTCCTATATCAAATGCAAGGATTATTATTATTATTATTACATACCTGAGGAGACTGACTTGTCTCTGTTTCAGCTCAGCCACACTGCCTATCACATTCCGCTGCCTGGAAGATAACATTGGCTTGGACAAGCGCATTACCAGGTTCATGCTACCGCTCGGAGCCACTATTAACATGGATGGGACAGCACTGTATGAGGCACTCGCTGCCATCTTCATTGCACAGGTCAACAACTACGACCTCAACTTTGGACAAATCATTACAATCAGGTAAGATGCACTGATGGACTTCAATCGCTTCACTTGGTTGGTGTTTGAGTTTGGGGCCTGGATTTGAACCTGGGATTTGTTACAGTCTATGGTTTGGCTTTCAGTTGGAGTTTAGGATGGAGCTGGTATTGGCTTATGCTCTAGATGAGGGACAAAGACTGAGAGTTCAGGGTTCACTTATGTCTTGGCTCCAGGTTTGAATTTGATTTTGGAATTGACACTTCCTATAACTGCTTAGTGGAGAAGGACTGTGCTGAGTGGTGAGATTTGGGCTGTGGAGATTTGGTGACACAACAAAACACACATTCAAAGACTTGATGAGGGAACAAAGTAACTGGGTTAAAACACAAAGAGTGGGAAGTGGGCAGAGAGGTAGTTACTGCCGTGCGCAATTGGCTGCTGTGTTTTGCCCACAAAATCTACAGTCGATTCACTTTACAGTATATTCTGTGAAGCGCTTTGTGACGTCTTGAATACGTGATAAGGTGCTATATCAAATCCAAGATTTATTATTTAAGAGGAGCAGTAAACAACAAGGAATGTTACCATTTTACTCTGATTTCCTTTCGCTGCTCCATATTAAATTCCCCTCCCACTCCCCCAGGCCTGACAATGCTCAATCTCTGCATGCGTGTTTGGCCATCATTCCTGACCCAAGATCCATGTCCCTACCCCCAACCTCTCTCTCCTCCCTCCAGTCTACTGTCACACGGCCTCCCATTGCTTCAGCCTATGTGCTTCACCATGCTCACTGCAGCACCTGCCCATGACTGTCCCAGAGTAGAGACCTTGATTACCCCATCTCACTGCATGGCCTCCCCTCTCCTCTCCTCCCCTCTCCTCCTTTCCTCTTTCCTCCCCGCTCTCACTCATCCCCAAATAACCACCGCCTCCACAGCTCCATTTATGCTTCAACCTCATCTCTAATTCCAAATGTGATGAACTTCCTCATGTCCAAAGTCGAGGGGATCTGCTCAGCTGAATCTGCAACCACCACAAACCCTCCCCTCTCCCGCAGCTCTATTCAACCCTCTTTCTACACCTTCAACTGTGTTTCGTCTTTATCCCTCTCCTTCCTCATCTCCTGTGGCTCCAACTTCCTGAGGTTCAGGAAATTGGAGCCACAGGGGAGAAGATGTTGATGAGAACCCAAGGCTTCTGTCTTGTCAACGTTCAGCTGCAGAACGTTGTGCTCATTCAGGCCTTGATGTCTGACAAATAAGAGAACTGAATATCGATGGACCTGGAGTACAGCTGGAGGAGAAGTGATTTGGGTGTCATCCACATACAAGTGGAAGTTGACTCTATGTCTATGGATGACATCATCGACTGGGAGCATGTAAATGAGGAAAAGAGGGGGCCAAGAATAGAGCCTTGGGGTATCCCACAGGTGAGTGCAGCCTGAGGTGGTTGGGGAGGAGAGGTGGTCGAGGAAGATGACCTGATCGACTGTCAAGAGCAACAGCAACAAAAGATATTTACACAGCACCTCTCACGTCCAGAGGACGTCCAAGATGCTGGACAGTCAGGGATTTTAACCTGAGCTGGGGATGGGATCAGGAGGGGTGGAGAGCAGGAAGGGTAGGGATAGGTGGATGGCCGGAAACATGCCTTGAAGAGGGCAAGGGAGGGAGTAAAGCGAAGGGTGAGGGCAGAGAGGCTGAAGGCCCGACCATCGATGAGGGTGGGGAGGGGGATGATGCTGGGCAGAGTGGTGGCGCAGGCTGGAGCCTACTGAGTGGAGGGAGAGGACAGATTGGCATTTGAGGTGAGGATGGAGGGGATGAGGTGGAGATGATATGTGGTGGAGAACAGGAGTTTGGGATTATGTTTGACCTCCAGGACGGGCTGGGAGTAAATACCATGTAAACCATAAATACTAACCAGAATGCAGTTTGGATAGTATTTATGGTTTACAAACTATTTCCTTCTAAAAGACAAGCGTACAAGTGAAATACTATTACAGTCACAGTATTACTATTACTATTATGGTGTCAGTGTTACTGTGACTATTACAGTCACAGTAACACTGACACCATAATAGTAATGGAATTTAGCATTAAGTGAGAGACAGAAGTGGTTAAGTCTGAAGCAAAGGTTTTAAATTTAAGTAGAGCCAACATTGCTGGTATGAGAGAGGATTTGGCCAAAATAAACTGGGAAATTAGACTTAAGGATTTGACAGTAGACCAGCAATGGCAGATGTTTAAGGAGATAGTGCAAAATTCCCAGCGAACACATATTCCTTTGAGGAATAAGAATGCCACAGGAAAGATGGCCCAACCGTGGCTCACTGGAGCAGTTTGGGACAGTATAAAGTTAAAGGAAGAAGCCTATAAAACAGCTCAGATGAGTAGTAAACCCGAGGATTGGGAGAACTTTAGGGATCAACAAAGGAGAACCAAAAAAGTGATTAAGAGGGAGAAAATGGAATATGAGGGCAAACTAACGAAGAACATAAAGACAGACTGCAAGAGTTTTTATAAATATATAAAGAGGAAGAGGCTGTCAAAGGTAAATGTGGGTCGGCTACAGCAGAGACGGGGGGAATAATAGTAGGGGACAAAGACATGGCAGAGTCATTAAACAAGTACTTTGCTACTGTCTTCACCTTAGAAGACACTGAAAACCTACCAAGAATAGAGGGGAACCAAGAAGACAATGTTAGCGAGCAACTTGGGAATTAATATTAGTAAAGAAATGGTTTTAGGTAAATTGTCAGGTCTTAAAACTGATAAATCCCCTGGACCTGATGGCCTACATCCTCGGGTTTATAAAGAGGTGGCTACTGAGGTAGTGGATGGTTTGTCTTTGATCTTCCGAAATTCTCTGGATTCTGGAATGGTTCCCATTGATTGGAAGATTGCAAACGTGACACCACTATTTAAGAAGGGTGGGAGAGAAAAGATGGGGAACTATAGACCAGTTAGTCTGACTTCAGTGGGAGGGAAAATTCTTGAGTCCTTAATTAAAGATGTCGTTATGGGATTCCTGGAAGACCATAACAAGATGAGGCAGAGTCAACATGGCTTTACAAAGGGAAGTCACGCTTCACTAATCTTTTAGAGTGTTTGAAGATGTATCTGCAGGTTAGAGAGGGGGGAACCAGTTGGTGTAGTATATTTAGATTTTAAAAAGGCATTTGACAAAGTGCCACACAGAAGGCTATTGCACAAGGTTAAGGCCCACGGGATTAATGGGAACATATTACCATGGATTGAAGAGTGGCCAACGGGTAGAAAACAGTGAGTAGGGATAAACGGGTCATTCTCAAATTGGCAGGAGGTGACTAGAGGAGTGCCACAAGGATCAGTGCAACTAAGAAGGCGAACGGCAGTTAGCGTTCATTGCCAAAGGTTTAGAGTACAGAGTAGGGAAGTCTGACTGCAACTGTATAGGGCTTTGGTGAGACCGCACCGAGAGTATTGTGTGCAGTTTTGATCTCCTTATTTATAAAAGGACACACTTGCCCTCGAGGGGGTGCAGCGTAGATTCACTCGGTTAGTGCCTGGGATGAGGGGACTGACCTATGAGGATAGGGCTGTATTCTCTGGAGTACAGAAGAATTAGGGGGAATCTTATTGAAACATATAAGATTCTTAAAGAGCTGATAAAGTAGTCACTGAGGGACTGTTTCCCCGGGAGGAGAATCTATAACCGGGTCACAGTCTGAAAATTAAAGGTCAGCCTTTTAGAACAGAGTTGAGGAAACTTTTCTTCACTCAGAGAGCAGTGACTTTATGGAATCCACTCCCCCGAAGGCTGTAGATGTCAGTCCTCGAACAGCTTCAAGGCTGAGACTGACAGACGTTTAAACAACAGAGGCATTAGGGGCTATGGGGAGAGGGCGGGTAATTAGAGTCAGGTCTGAAGATCAGCCGTGATCTTAGCGAATGGCGGGGCACAGGCTCGAGGGGCTGAATGGCCGACTCCTGCTCCTAATGCTTATGTTCTTATGTTCTCATTACAGTAATAGTATTACTATTACTATTACAGTCACAGTGTTACTATTACTATTACAGTGTCAGTGTTATTATTACTATTACAATCACAGTGTCACTATTACTATTACAGTCACAGTGTTACTATTACTATTACAGTGTTAGTGTTACTATTACAGTGTCAGTGTTACTATTACTATTACAGTCACAGTGTTACTATGACTATTACTGTCAGAGTGTTACTATTACTATTACAGTCACAGTGTCACTATTACTATTACAGTGTTAGTGTTACTATTACTATTACAGTGTCAGTGTTATTTATTACTATTACAGTCACAGTGTTACTATGACTATTACAGTCACAGTGTTACTATTACTATTACAGTCACAGTGTCACTATTACTATTACAGTCACAGTGTCACTATTACTATTACAGTGTTAGTGTTACTATTACTATTACAGTGTCAGTGTTATTTATTACTATTAGTCACAGTGTTACTATTACTATTACAGTCTTAGTGTTACTGTTACTATTACAGTGTCAGTGTTATTATTACTATTACAGTCAGTGTTACTATGACTATTACAGTCACAGTGTTACTATTACTATTACAGTCACAGTGTCACTATTACTATTACAGTCACAGTGTCACTATAACTATTACAGCCACAGTGTTACTGTTACTATTACAGTCACAGTGTTACTATTACTATGAGAGTGCCAGTGTTACTATTACTGTGACAGTGTTACTATTACTATGACAGTGTTACTATTACTATGACAGTGTCAGTGTTATTATTACTGTGTCAGTGTTACTATTACTGTAACAGTGTCAGTGTTACTATTACTATGACAGTGTTATTATTACTGTGGCAATGTCAGTGTTATTATTACTGTGACAGTGTCAGTGTTACTATTACTGTGACAGTGTCAGTGTTATTATTACTGTGACAGTGTTACTATTACCGTGACAGTGTTACTATTACTGTGAGTGTCAGTGTTACTATTACTGTGACAGTGTCAGTGTTACTATTACTATGACAGTGTCAGTGTTACTATTACTGTGACAGTGTTATTATTACTGTGACAGTGTCAGTGTTTTTATTACTGACAGTATTACTATTGCTGTGACAGTGACAGTGTTACCATTACTGTGACAGTGTCAGTGTTACTATTACTATGACAGTGTTATTATTACTGTGAGTGTCAGTGTTACTATTACTATGACAGTGTCAGTGTTATTACTGTGAGTGTTTTTATTACTATGACAGTGTCAGTGTTATTATTACTATGACACTGTCAGTTTTATTATTACTATGACAGTATCAGTGTTATTATTACTGTGACAGTATCAGTGTTACTATTACTATGACAGTATCAGTGCTATTATTACTGTGTCAGTGTTATTATTACTGCGGCAGTATCAGTGTTACTATTACTGTGACAGTGTCGGTGTTACTATTGAAGCTTGTTGTCTTCACAGCATCACTGCTACAGCTGCCAGTGTTGGAGCCGCTGGGATCCCTCAGGCCGGGCTGGTCACTATGGTCATCGTCCTGACCTCAGTGGGACTGCCCTCGGATGACATCACTTTGATCATTGCGGTGGATTGGTTCCTGTACGTATCTCACACAAACTCTGGGCTTCCTCCCGGGATTATCCTCATGGTTCAACATCTTGTTGTACAGACAGATCGCGGTATGGAAGCCATTCTCCCTCTCATGTCTGGGCCATGTCAGGTCACCAATAGTACTTTCTATTGAATCCAATTCTCTGCTCTGTCTGTCTGCAGATTCTTCTATCACTTTGTTCTTCACGTGTTTATCTAATTCCATTTTGAATGATATAAATGACTCAATTTTATAAGTCACCGGTGGTAACACATTCCATAATAATTCTAATAATAATTGTTGCATTTGATATACCGCCTTATCACAGAAGCATAAATCCCTTGTATAAAACAATGTCTTCTAATCTCGGCTCTTATCCTTTTAGTTGTAATCTTGAGTTTAATTTGATGCCCTTATTGCTGATACTTCAATCTGTGGAAAAATCTTTTACCGTTTAGCCTGAAAATCATTTTACAATACAGCATTGAAACTTCTGTTAAATCCAATCTTTAATCTTTTCTGCTCTTGTGTATATTGTTTAATAATAGAGGAACAGGGGAGTATAGAGTTTGAAAAACACACTGCAATCTCTTTGAATGGTCCCAAAGTAAACTAAAGGAATAATCCTACACTATATTAACTCTCAGGGTTTGACTCCATGTTTGCACCATCCCTTCTCGCCAAAGTCCTGGTACCAGTCATTGCTTCCCAGCTCAGCTCGTTCTTCTCCTGGCATATTGTGTGGGCTATTCTATCTGATTCAAGGGTTCAGGCAGCGAGTTCCACAATCTCACGACCCTCTGTGTGAAATACTTCCTCCCAAATTCTCGTTCAGATCGCCTCGTCGCTATCTTATATTTATGTCCCCTGGTTACAGACTCCCCAACCAGTGGAAACAGCCTATTTATGTTAACCTTATTGAATTTAATAATATAAACATAATCCTGTAAACCTACACTGTAGTCTTCCCATTATTGCTGCACCTTTTAGTGTGGAGACCAGAATTGAACACATTATCCAGATGTGGTCTAACCAAGGTTTTGTACAAATTTGTGGCCAGGACACAAGAGAAACTTCCTTCTCAAATCACCAATATTGGCAATCTGACTCATCTTGTAGGGTAGGTAATGGCAATAAACTTTTCTCAGATTCCTGAGATTGGCTTTATGCTTTTATGGTGGAGTCCTGTAGCTCAGTGGTTAGAGCACTCGCCTCGCAAATAGAGACCTAGGTTTGATTCCTGGGCAGAGTGAAACGTTGGGCAAGTTTCCTTATTCCACATGCCTGTTTACCAGCAGTAAGTAGGAACCTGGTTGTTGGTCGATTAGTGGAATGCTTTACCGGGAGTAATAATACGTTCAAATTTTTAAAAAATAATAATAATTTGGTCACTTCAATCCACGACTGTTTGTGGGGACGCCTATGTACGTAATTGGCTACCGAGCTTCACCCCCAAAATATCGAGTCAATTCATTTTACAATATATTCTGTGCAAGGATTATTATTATAATTATTTTATTATTATGGTGAGTTCTGGATCAGGGAATATTCTCTGATTATGATACTTTATCGCCCACTAGTGGAGAAGCTGTTTGATACAGTAGTTATTAAATTTGACAGATTTCCCAATGCATTAAGAATATCAAAAAATCTCACATCACTGCCACTATGATCGCAGAAGTTCCCAAATCACAAACTTCTACAGAGATAATAATCACTTTTGCATTTGTTATTGCACTTTATCACAACTTTGAGACGTCTCAAAGTGCTTCAAAGAAAATACTGTAAAGTGAATTTATTTGAAGGGATTATTGCGCTTGGAAAAGTGATCTGCCAATCGACTAACAAGCGGGTTCCTACTTACAGAGACGTGTGGAGTAATGAAACGTGCCTAAGGTTGCACACTGACCGAGAATTGATCCCGGGTCCTCCATACGATCTGAAGCTTGTGTAGGGAAGTGCTGGGGATGTTTGAGCAAGTGAGCCTGGAGTTGGTAATATCCTTCCATGTGACATAGTGCCTTTTGTGTCAGGAGGATGTCTCAAACTGCTTCATAGGATTTATTGTGGGGGGATTGTGATTTACTGGACAGTGATTGTGATTTACTGGACAGCGATTGTGATTTACTGGACAGTGAGGGTGAGGATCTTGAAGTGGATCCTCTCTGGGATAGGCAGCGAGTGCAGTCTGGCCAGGACTGGGGGGATCGGGGAGCGGGGTTTGGGGGTGGGGGGGAGGGCCAGGACTGGGGGGATCGGGGAGCGGGGTTTGGGGGTGGGGGGGAGGGCCAGGACTGGGGGGATCGGGGAGCGGGGTTTGGGGGTGGGGGGGAGGGCCAGGACTGGGGGGATCGGGGAGTGGGGTTTGGGGGTGGGGGGGAGGGCCAGGACTGGGGGGATCGGGGAGTGGGGTTTGGGGATGGGGGAGGACGGGTGGGGCCACGAATGGGGGGATCGGGGAGTGGGGGGAGGGCCAGGACTGGGGGAATTGGGGAGTGGGGGGGAGGGCCAGGACTGGGGGGAGTGGGGTTTGGGGCGGGTGAGAATGCGGGCGGCAGAGTTCTGGGTGATGTGGGCTGTATGGATGGCAGTGGACGGGAGACCGGTGAGGAGGGCGTTAGAGTAGTTCAGCCGAGAGGTGACAAAGGCCTGGACCAGGGATTCAGCGGCTTTTGGGGAGAGGTATTGGCGGAGACGGGCGATGCGTCGGAGGTGGAAGAAAGCGGTGCTGGTGAGGGACCGGATGTGGGGGAGGAAGGATAATTGGGGGTCGAACCTGACGCCTGGGTTGTGTAGGGTTCGGAGAGTTTTAGGGGGAGGTCGGGAAGGTGGAGGAGGTGAGAACCGTGAGATTTTAGACGTTGACGAGAGCCAAAGAGTATGGCTTCCGTCGTGTCAACGTTCAGCTGAAGGAAGTTTGCGCTCATCCAACCCCTGAGATCTGACAGGCAGAACATCAGGGGACTGGGGGGGCGCAAAGAGAGGTGGAAAAATAGAGTTGGGTGTCGTCCGCGTACATGTGGAAATGTATCCCATGTCTGCGGATGACATCCCCAAGAGGGAGCATCAGATCAGAAAGAGGAGGGGGCCAAGGGTGGATCCTTGGGGTACCCGCAGGTGACCGGGTGAGAGCGGGAGGAGAAGCCGTTGGTGCAGATGTACTGCTGGTGGTTTGTGAGGTAGGACTCGAACCGGGCGAGTGCGGTCCCACTGAGGTGGATGACGGAGGAAAGGCGGGGGAGGAGGATGGCGTGATCGACTGTCGAACGCGGCGGAGAGGTCCAGGAGGACAAGGAGGCAGAGGGAGCCCTGGTCACAGATAGAGAGGATGGAGTTTGTGACTTTCACAAGCGCAGTCTCTGTACTGTGGGCGGAAACCGGATTGGAGGGGTTTGAAGAGGGAATGGGAGGAGATGTGTGCGCAAAGTTGATTGACAACAACTTCCTGCTGGGTAACCAGAAGCGTTTGGAGTAAGGAACCTTGCCCAAGGTTTCACCCGGCCGGGAATCAAACCCTGATCTCTCGCTTCAAGGCGAATGCTCTAACCACTGAGCTACAGGACTCCATCATACACATGCTTGTAAGCATGTAGTGTGTTGGCAGCCTAGGGGAGGTAGTGGTGGTAGCAGACAGGATTCTGGAGCTCAGAGAAAGAAGCAGGGGAATGTCAATAGGGCTCAAACCAGACAGTGATGTTTCTCACCAGCTCAATGACGTGGACTGAGCATCTGTGTAGATTGATGCTCTCAGCACCTGAGGTAAGAAGATGCTGCTGGGAGACAAGCAGGAGAGCCTTGGCCTTGTTGACATTCAGCTGGAGAAAGTTAGCACTCAGCCAGGAATTGATGTCTGACAGGCAATCAGTCAGAGTCTAATGGTTCTGCAATTGAGGGTAGAGAAAGAGAGATAGATTGGAGTACATGTGGAAGTAGACCCCATGCCTACTGATGATGTCACTAAAGGAGCATTTCGGTGAAGAGGATAAATCTAAGGATAGAGATGGTTAAGAAGAATTTCTGTGTTATAGATTTCTGTGGTTCAATGATTTAAAGTTGTTGAGTCCTGTATCTCAGTGGTTAGAGCACTCCCTCACAAGCAAGGTTCGATTCTTGGGCAGGGCGAAGCGTTGGGCAAGTTTGCTTACTCCACACATCTCTGTTTACCAGCAGTAAGTAGGAACCCTGCTGTTAGTTGATTGGCGGACTGCTTTTCCGGGGGTAATAATCCCTTCAAAATAAATTTTAAAGAAATTAAAAATTGGGTCACTCAATCCACGACTGTTTGTGGCACAATTGGCTGCTGCGTTTTGCCTAACAACTGCACTTAGAGTGATCTCAAAGACGTGATAAAGCATTTTATCAAACGCAAGGATTATTATTATTACATTTACACTCTGCTGTGACTCCTTGCTCCTGATGTATGAATGATATGAAATGACAATGACTTTTACAATTTGTAGGGATCGTCTGCGCACCACAACTAATGTCCTGGGAGATTCGATAGGAGCTGGCATCGTTCAGCATCTCTCCTGCCACGAGCTGCAGAAACAGGATGCAGAAATGGGAAACTCTGTCATTGAAGAGAATGAGATGAAGAAATCGTATCAGCTCATTTCTTGCCAGAGTAATGAGAATGAAAAGCCCTTAGACAGTGAGACCAAGATGTAAAGAGAAATGGTGTCCATTCCCCCCACAGGTCAGCCTGTTGTCCTGTTGGGCTAATCAGATTGGCTTGGCTGTGCTCGCTCCTTTTAGTGGGAGAGCAGATTTTCTTATTTATTTTGAGCCAATATTTCCAAACAATTGATTAACAATGTTCCCCTGTGGTGGCGTCGGCTTAGTCACCCTACGCTGGCTGTAGGCTTGTTAGGGTGATTGTGAGATGGCCCTTGGCTAGTTTTGCCTTGGATTTAACACCTCTTTAATTGAAGTCCTAAGATGAGCCGCTGTGGTCGGAGGGGGAGAGGCTCGAGTGTGAGGGAATTAAAGTTTGAATTCCACCAGAATATCTCCAAACCTAAGCCTGAATCATTGCCGCAGTTTCACTTGCCTAGTGATCCATCTCACTATCTGGGGAAGAGTGCTGCTGCTGCCACTAACTCACTTTTCTCACATGAAACTCACTCCCAGAAATGTAGAAAAAAATGCAGATTAATTCACAAATACCATGAGAAAACATGTACAAAAGTTCAAGAGGGTTGATTGAATGGTTTGTCACCGGAATAGTTTCTGTTACATTTAAACCGTCTCAAACGTATAATCTGGACACCATTCAAACTACTGAAAAATATCAGAATGGAGATGACAGTAATCACTGTGACACACACACACTCACTGTGACACACACACACACACACTGTGACACACACACACTCACTGTGACACACACACTGTGACACACACACACACACTGTGACACACACACTGTGACACACACACACTCACTGTGACACACACACTGTGACACACACACACTCACTGTGACACACACACACTCACTGTGACACACACACACTCACTGTGACACACACACACTCACTGACACACACACATACGCACTGTGACACACACATACACTCACTGTGACACACACACACTGTGACACACACACACACACACACTGTGACACACACACACACTCACTGTGACACACACACACTCACTGTGACACACACATACGCACTGTGACACATACAACAATAACAACAAGATTCCATTTATTGAGCGCCTTTCACGTCGGGAGGACGTCCCAAAGCGCTGTACAGTTGGGTCAGGACCTGAGCATTGGGGGAAAATGGTGAGGGGAGGGAAGGGAGGGAGCGAGGAGGGGGGAAATGGTCAGGGTGAGGGGAGGGAAGGGAGGGTTGAGGAGGGGGTAGAGAGTTGAGAGCGGAGCTGAAGGCTGAAGGTCAGAGAGAAAGGTCTTGAGATCGGCCCTGAAGGAGGAAAGGGAGGAAGCGACGAAGGCACTGGGGATGGAGTCCCAGAGCCTCGGGGCTGAGAGGCTGAAGGCTCGGCCACTGATGGTAGGGCGGTTGGGGCGGGGGATGTGGAGGAGACCGGAGGCCACGGTGGTTGGGGCGGGGGATGTGGTGGGAGGTGTAGCGGGTGGTGTGGCCTCCGTGAGGGGGAAGGGGTCCCTGGGGTGAGCCCGGTTTCCGTTAAGGCCATAATGTCAACGCTCCCATCAAGGATGAGGTCGGTGATGACCAGGGCCTTGTTACTGAGGGAGCGGACGTTTTGTAGTCCGATGTGGAGGGAGCGGTTGACAGAAGGGTGTGTGGGAGGGGAGGGGGGTCCAGGTTGTGGGGTAGGGGTGGGGGGAATGGGGGTAAGGGAGGAGAGGTTGACTCCCCGGGTCTGTGTCCGGGGTGGGTGGCGAGAGTGGTGGGGAATGGGGCAGTCGGAGTGGCTGCTGCTGGACAGCCAACGCCGAGTGCCGCGGTGAACCCGGGGGAGGATTCCCAGACTGGAGCAGAGGGAGGGGGTGGGGGGTCAAGTGGGGAAAGAAGGCGAGAGGGACGGAGAGAGAGCGGGAGAGATGCAGAGGGGGGAAGGTTTGGGGGAGAGAGGAGGAGGGAGGGGGTGAGGAGGCTCAGATCAGAGAGGCAGCTATAGTGCGCACACGGGGACCGGGAGTGAGCGGTCAGGTGTTGGGGCAGCCAACCCAACAGGACCATAGTGGGCCCTGATGCGAGCCCCGGGGGGGGGCACAGAGGGTTTTTGCGTGCGCTCACACTCCTGAAACTAAACTATGACGTCAGCGGTTCCCCCACTCTGCCCCCGCACACACCCACAGCCCGCACCCCCCCCACAGCCCCCACCCACCCCACACCCCCACAGCCCCCACCCACCACCCACAGCCCCCACCCACCCCACCCCCCCACATTCCCACCCACCCCACACCCCCCCCACAGCCCCCACCCACCCCACACCACCCACAGCCCCCACCCACCCCACACCCCCCACAGCCCCCACTCACCCCACAGCCCCCACCCACCCACACCACCCACAGCCCCCACCCACCCCAGAGCCCCCCACCCCACCCACAGCCCCCACCCACCCCACATTCCCACCACCCCACACCCTTCACTGTGACACAAACACACACACTCACTGTGACACTCACTGTGACACACACACTTCATTGTGACACACAAACCCCCCATACCGTTCTCTTCCCCCCCCCCCCATACTGTTCTCTCTCCCCCCCCATACTGTTCTCTCTCCCCCCCTCCCCCCCATACTGTTCTCTCTCCCCCCCCATACTGTTCTCTCTCCCCCCCTCCCCCCCCATACTGTTCTCTCTCCCCCCATACTGTTCTCTCTCCCCCCCATACTGTTCTCTCTCCCCCCCCCATACTGTTCTCTCTCCCCCCCATACTGTTCTCCCCCCCCCATACTGTTCTCTCTCCCCCCCATACTGTTCTCTCTCCCCCCCATACTGTTCTCTCTCCCCCCATACTGTTCCTCTCCCCCCCATACTGTTCTCTCTCCCCCCCCATACTGTTCTCTCCCCCCCCATACTGTTCTCTCTCCCCCCCATACTGTTCTCTCTCCCCCCCATACTGTTCTCTCTCCCCCCTCCCCCCATACTGTTCTCTCTCCCCCCCATACTGTTCTCTCTCCCCCCCCTACTGTTCTCTCTCCCCCCCCATACTGTTCTCTCTCCCCCTCCCCCCATACTGTTCTCTCTCCCCCCTCCCCCCATACTGTTCTCTCTCCCCCCCATACTGTTCTCTCTCCCCCCCCATACTGTTCTCTCTCCCCCCCATACTGTTCTCTCTCCCCCCCATACTGTTCTCTCTCCCCCCATACTGTTCTCTCCCCCCCCCATACTGTTCTCTCTCCCCCCCATACTGTTCTCTCCCCCCCATACTGTTCTCTCTCCCCCCCCCCCATACTGTTCTCTCTCCCCCCCATACTGTTCTCTCTCCCCCCCCATACTGTTCTCTCTCCCCCCATACTGTTCTCTCTCCCCCCCATACTGTTCTCTCTCCCCCCCTCCCCCCCATACTGTTCTCTCCCCCCCCCCCATACTGTTCTCTCTCCCCCCCCATACTGTTCTCTCTCCCCCCCCCATACTGTTCTCTCTCCCCCCCATACTGTTCTCTCTCCCCCCCATACTGTTCTCTCTCCCCCCCTCCCCCCCCATACTGTTCTCTCTCCCCCCCATACTGTTCTCTCTCCCCCCCCCATACTGTTCTCTCTCCCCCCCCATACTGTTCTCTCTCCCCCCCATACTGTTCTCTCTCCCCCCTCCCCCCCATACTGTTCTCTCTCTCCCCCCATACTGTTCTCTCTCCCCCCCATACTGTTCTCTCTCCCCCCCCCATACTGTTCTCTCTCCCCCCCATACTGTTCTCTCTCCCCCCCCATACTGTTCTCTCTCCCCCCCCATACTGTTCTCTCTCCCCCCCCATACTGTTCTCTCCCCCCCCCATACTGTTCTCTCTCCCCCCCCATACTGTTCTCTCTCCCCCCCCATACTGTTCTCTCCCCCCCCCATACTGTTCTCTCCCCCCCCCATACTGTTCTCTCCCCCCCCTACTGTTCTCTCTCCTACTGTTCTCTCCCCCCCCATACTGTTCTCTCTCCCCCCCTGTTCTCTCCCCCCCCCTACTGTTCTCTCCCCCCCCATACTGTTCTCTCCCCCCCCAACTGTTCTCTCTCCCCCCCATACTGTTCTCTCCCCCCCCATACTGTTCTCTCCCCCCCCATACTGTTCTCTCCCCCCCCATACTGTTCTCTCTCCCCCCCCTACTGTTCTCCCCCCCCATACTGTTCTCTCCCCCCCCATACTGTTCTCTCTCCCCCCCATACTGTTCTCTCTCCCCCCCCATACTGTTCTCTCCCCCCCCCCCCCCCCCATACTGTTCTCTCCCCCCCCATACTGTTCTCTCTCCCCCCCCCATACTGTTCTCTCCCCCCCCATACTGTTCTCTCCCCCCCATACTGTTCTCTCCCCCCCATACTGTTCTCTCCCCCCCCATACTGTTCTCTCCCCCCCCCATACTGTTCTCTCTCCCCCCCATACTGTTCTCTCTCCCCCCCCATACTGTTCTCTCTCTCCCCCCCCACTGTTCTCTCTCCCCCCCCATACTGTTCTCTCTCCCCCCCATACTGTTCTCTCCCCCCCCATACTGTTCTCTCCCCCCCCCTACTGTTCTCTCCCCCCCCCCCATACTGTTCTCTCCCCCCCCCTCCCCCCCCCATACTGTTCTCTCCCCCCCCTACTGTTCTCTCTCCCCCCCCACTGTTCTCTCTTCCCCCCCCATACTGTTCTCTCTCCCGTTTACTGTTCTATCAGTGCCACCCCCCACCCAATACTGTTCTCTAACCTCTCCCCCCCCCCCCCACCCCATACACACAGTACTGTTCTTTGTCAACAGCCAATTGATCCAATTGGAATCAGAAGAATAGTGTTTATTTTGCTAACACCTATAAGTCCTAACAATTATATGTGTATGGACATCAATATATACACTCAAGGCTTAGAGACCAATTTAGAGAAACTGTATACAGAGCAATCGAGCTATTAAATCGGAGTAGAGGTTGTGAAATAATATGTTAATGACAGGTGTGGTGATTACCAATGTCACTTCTTTCCTTTTCCAATCAACCATCTATCAGTTTGGGATTTTATTGTATTTTTATGAAGAACTAAAAATAATTTTATTTTATGGCAGAAATGTTCTTTGATTTCTGTAAATAAATGCACAAGCTCGAATTCAAATGGTTTATTAATAAATCATTATCTTCTCTGTCAATTTTCAATTAAATCATTAAATTGTGTGAAATAAAAGTTTTTGATAAAACATATTCTCACTGTGTTTTAAGAGTTTACTATCTCTCTTTTAACTGCATTCCCTTCATATTGCATACTCGCTGACAGTATAAAATGCTTTGAGATGGCTTCTGATGTGCAACAACAACAACAACAAGATTCCATTTATAGAGCGCCTTTCACGTCGGGAGGACGTCCCAAAGCGCTGTACAGTTGGGT